GAAAGTCCGATGAACCCACTGCTGGGGGAGGGGGGAGCTGGGATGTCAAGTGAACCCACGTCTGGTAGGGGGGGGGTGGGTGTCCTGTGAACCCACTGCTGTGTCAGCCTAGTATATCCATAAAACATAGTCATCACGCTCAAACCCCATCCATACCATATGAAATCTCTGTAACACCAAGGATTTTCAGGACTATACCAACATTTCTTATCCGACATCCATCCAACCCTGTACGTGCCATGGGGAAAGGCTGGCGATTATGCAGCGTTTTTAGTAAATAAGAGCTCAACTGGCAAAGAAGAATTGGATTTCTTACACCCAGTCACCAGATGTAAGGTGGGTACATGTTTTACTGTACAGTGGATTCCAAAAGAAACCTGAAAATGTAATCACCCAATCCTCGTGTTAAAGCCTGCACTACCCACTCACGCAGCATGCCAATTTAAAGCTAAATAAATCCTGCATCTTCTGACACAATAATATTTCACCTATATTCAGAGATATATATTTCGTCATAATTAGATTATATCTATTCTCTTCGTGCTGTCATTTCTAATGAACTACACCGTCGCCTTCAAATTTTCCCAAACAATGCAGCTAGGCTTACTTTTAAGAAGAAGAAAAGAACCCATACATCGCAATCCTAAAAGAGCTATATTTGCTACAATATTGTGCACAAAGTCTGTGTTTTTTCTAATAAATATTTAAATAGCATTATTGATATTCATAAATATTTAAATTACATTATCTCACTAACCTATCTCTCAAGCGCTCTTCAAAAGTATGTATGTAGCAATAAGAAGTCTAAGGTTACCAAGTGTTATCCACTGATAAAAGAACTTGCGTTAAAACTTTTTATAGACAGCTCTCATTTTCGTATCATGGTCCCCTGATGTAGAATGACTTAACCAGACATATATGGACTTAAGTTCCTTGGCATTGTTTAAAAAATCTCCCCACGCCGGGATCAAACTCAGGCTTCCCACGTGCAAAGTCAAAACGGCTAACATCTGTACCGCAGACACGGCCAGAATAATAATGTTAATAATAATAATAATAATAATAATAATAATAATAATAATAATAATAATAATAATAATAATAATAATAGTAATAATAGTAATAATAATAATAATAATAATAATAATAATGATAATAATAATAATAATAATAATAATAATAATAATAATAATAATAATAATAATACATGTAGTAACAATAGTAATAGTGATAAAATAATGATTATAATGATAAAAATGACAGCAATAACAATAATAAGACAAGAATACCCAAACGTATGCAACACTTTATTTATTATTCAAAATACTCGCTTGTTAACGTCAAACGGTTTGTAACTGGCGTTAGGACCAACACCCTGTTGCACGGACGAGCGTAGACCCCTGTAAGGGTCAATGTTCTGACCGCCGGCCAGTCCAGAGGCCACGTTGGAGACCCCCTGGTCGTAGCCCTCCTTGGTGGTGTACTGAGTCTGGCTGGAGTCGGAGTTCTTGTTGTTGTAGTTGACGTTGTCGTTGTAGCCGTCGGTTACATCGAAGTTTTTCCCTGGCACAGGTAAGATAAGATGAGATAAGATAAGATAAGATAAGACAAGACAAGATAAGATAAGATAGGATGAGATGAGATAAGATGAGATGAGATGAGATAAGATAAGATAAGATACAGCTTTCTTGTCTAGATTCTGGCACTTTAGTTTGGTGTTTCACCATGTGTTCACAAACACACACACACACACACACACACACACACACACACACACACACATATACACACACACTCACGCACACACATGCAGGCTTACAATCACGTGGATAATATAAATGAGCAGCAATATAAACAGTAATAATGTTAAGCTAGATTATAGTCAATGGTATTCTGATCCATATGAATATTTATACAAGATGATTAAGACGGAAAAATGTTGATCGATGAAGAAATGGTGGTTGCTAGAGTTGGATAGGATATAGAAGAGACACACGTTTTTTGGGTACACAATGAGGATTTTTTTTCGCCACTACCGATTGTGAACAGCCCCCCACACACCCCTCCCCCGCCAAAAAAAAAAGAGAAAATTATAGAAAAAGAGAAATGAATCTATCTATCTATCTATCTATCTATCTATCTATCTATCTATCTATCTATCTATCTATCTATCTATCTATCTATCTATCTATCTATCTATTGTAGATCAAATCCATGAGCCAAAACAACGACTCAATACTTTAAACGTCTAACGTTTATAAAAGACCAAGGAGATCCCGATCGAGGACACGGATGTCAGGTTTGGAAACTGACCATGTCACAGTCCACTCAAGTTCGCTAGTGTACTTTTTACACCAGAGACGAAACAACGCTGGTTTTTGTCGTGTTGTTCTTATTAGGAATCATGTATGAAAGGCAAGAAAATTGTAAGCCTCAAACTGCATACCGGTGATGTTGAAAGATACATCATTGAGAGAGCTTTGAGAAGGTATAAAATAGAAAATTCTCAAAATTTGACTTCAGTGAATTGCTTGTGACAGCGACCATGTGCGCCCACCAAGCACAAGAAAGGACTCCATGGAAAATGAGACTAATCGTGGCTCTGTAAGTCTCGAATGATGACGAGTAATCGTCTCCCTCATTACTGCTGATTTTTTTTTTTCAGTTATGGAACTTATTGCATTCAGAATATGATGGTCTGTTTAATTTTTTTTCTTCTAAAATACGCCTCCATCTGCCCAATTTAGATCACTTAGGGGGCGGGCTTCCGACACTGCCTGTCAGGGCCAGCCCGGGTTAAGAGGGATACATGACTGTATAACCTCGCAGCAGTAAAACCGAGATATTCGAATTTAAAAAAAATAAATGTCCCGACTCGGGTCTCCTGCGTGCGACAGTGGAGCGCCTAACCGCTTCACCTCAGCCACCGGTATGAAGGTATGTGGACTCGTTCATAAAAAAAAAAAAATGTTGTTGGCATCCTCAAAGTAAGCTTGCAGTTCTTTAAGCTCATTGATAGGTCGTGTACCGCTTATTTTTTCAAGTGTCTTTTATTCCTCGCATGCTTCTCTTTTTTCTTCCCATCCTAATTATTAGGAAAGTAGAGTATTTTGTGCTGATAGATAATGGAGATAAAAATCTTCAGCCTTTTATCTTTTCATAAAAGTATTACAATTATAATCATTGTCAATATACTAGAGACAAGACTAGTTTTTGTAGCGTAATTTATAGGAAAACAATAGGCTTGTTGAAGTTTAGACATTCTAATTCTGTTATCACAGAAATGAAGTTTGCGTTTTGGTTGTTGGCTTTTAAAAAACCCACAACAAAAACAACCTAAACATCTTGAGCACTATGTTTAGTTTTTACAAGTTATGGCCCTTTGCTGTTTATCGCCTGTGAGTTGTGAACAATGAAAATAAGAGAAGTGCGCCAGGCAGAACATTTATTTGCGTTCATACGGTAGGCTTCTCCTATTTTCGTTGTCCACATCTCACCAACAAAACTATTGACCACCTGTTTAACAGTTGGGCGATATTGGGCTATAGTGGTCTTTTTTGACAAAATAATAATATGTCTCCTTGGTCGACAGCTGTAGTATGTAGCATGCGGAGGGGGGTAATACCAGCCCCTAATCAGCTTACTGCGCTTGTATACTTTGAACTATGCCTTAACCTTACGTTTCATTCATTTCTTTGTTTGAGCAAAGAGAAGCACATCGACACAATAATAAAATTGTCATTTCGTACTGGAAAAAGGTAAGACAAGACAGACAGAAACAACAGAGGGAAAGTAAAGAAGTAAAACCTGCCAGTGCCATCCTCCAAACACCCGCTTTACGTTTCTTTTCAAAAGATTGAAATGGGGAGGATTTAAATTACTTTTTAATAAATATTTCTGTTTTTTTGTTTTAGAAACAGTTATTTAAACCCAGCAGTGTATGACTGATCAGGCGTCATAAAAACAAACAATGCAAATTCGAAGGGCACGTATCTGACATTAACTGAATGTTCTGGTCTCCATTTAGTTATATACCCTACTTGACGTCGATGTACATCATTCAGATAGCGATATGATATTCCAAACCTCGAGGACACCAAAGGGAGTGGAAGAAAGTTGTAAGACAAACTACTCCTCTTCCTATAGGGTAAAACAAACAAACAAACAAACAAACAGAAGTACCCCTTTTCCTAGTCTTCGTCAACTAAAACACGTCTTCCGCTTTTACCTCAATACTGATCTTCTGACTGCTGTCACACTCTCACCTTTACATCCTTCCCCCATTCATCTTTCTCCTTTTCTTTGGTCTTTCTCTTCTCGTCAGTGTATCTCGTTTCCCTCTTCCTCGTTCTCGCCCCCTCTCCCCAAATACCCACAAGTTCTCATTATGAAAGCTCACTGTTTTCTACTCAGTTTGACTTTTGTTTGGGATGGATGGAGGGGGAGGGGGAGAGTCGAGGCCTTTTCTCTTCCTTCTACAAGAGATACCTGGACTTCAATCCCAAAACGTTGTCTCTTACATAGCTTACTTTGAGTTGAATGTGGGGACAAAACAAGAAAAGCCAACATAAAGGAAAAGCACATCGACCTTTTTATAACCAACGTCCACGCCACCTTTAAGAGGCAAGCGAAAATTCTTGAACCTCCCATCCTTCAGGTACAATGTATTTCCAAGCACAGCTTAGAATAGCACATATAACTACACAGCTGATCCCAAATTAAATCACTCGCTTGTTGGTGATATCACCCACCTTTACAAGCGGGGACCGAAACAAAGCCTACCTTGTCTAAAAGCGTTGTTATAACCGTCCGAGTTGCTGAAGGACTTCTTGTCTGCCTTGGTCTGCTGGCGGTCGTAGCCGTCCTGGAAGTCGTGGTGCTGATTGTCGCTATCGCTGTACTGACCGCCGCTGCTGCTGCCGGTGTTGTAGCCCAGGTCTTTGGCGTAGCTGTTTCCGTGGCTGTACCCGCCCCCGTTCTTCGTGCTGTCTACCTCCTGGTAGCTCTGGCTCTTCGGGAACCCGCCGGCCGAGCCGCTGTGAGTGTCGCCGAGACTGACGGAGCCACCAGACTTTCCGAGACCGTTCCCGAAGGTGTTAAACTTCCCACCACCCGAGCCCGAGTTCCCGGCGTTGTTGTTGTACTGGCTGGCACCGGTGCTTCCGCCGAATCTACCACTTGAGCCGGTGGCAAAGTTGTCGCCGAACGATTTTGAATAAGACTGGCTTCCACCGTTGGAGTTGTCGTAACCGTTCTTGCTGAGGGTTGACTGGCCCACCCCAAATAGGTTGTTGCCTTTAGTGCCTGCCGCCAGGGTACTTTGTGTTTTAGTAGTGGGGTTGTTGTACTGTGGGAATCCGTTAAAATTATTAAAATCGTTGTTGCCGCCGACTAGATTGAAGGATGTCTGACGATTCTTGTCATAGGGAGTGACACCGAAGTCCTTGTCTCCCAGAAGATCTTTGGATCTGAAGTCATTTACTGATAGACGTTTGTTTGGAGTAAAACCCGTGAACAGAGGGGTCATGCTTTGGGGGGAATTGAACAGACTCGTGTCTCCATATGGTGACTGGGAACCTACTCGTTCTTTAAAGATATCAGGGCCAGGGTTAGAACTGAAACCGCCGAAGTTTGAAGGCGCCGGTTTGGAAAAGACAGATCCTGATGAATCGCCTCCGAAGTTACGAATGAGTCTGTTGCCGCTGTCGCTAGATTTCGAATCATAGTTGTTGTTGAAGGTCTGGCGACCCTGATCAGCAAAGCCTTGTTTTTGCAGGAAATTGTCGCCGCTCTTTGAACCACTTACGAAAGGCGCAGATGTTGCTTTGAGCAGCTGTCCTTGTGCCCTAACGAAGTTACCACCGTCCGCATTCCCTAATGTCGTCTTTTGGAGATTATTGTTTTTCTTCTGGAATTGTTGGCTGCTTCCCAGCGGTGAGCTGTTGATGCCAAATGTGCCCTGATTTCCCTGGAATCCAAACTTTGGTCCAATGCCCATAAAACTATTTCTTAGACCTCCAACGGTGCCTATTCCTTTTGAACCACCGGGGAAGGAGCTAGGGCCTGAACTGATGGCTTTCCCGAACCCTCCGAAGACAGAGTCCACGATCTGGTACTTGTCGTCAGTCGGTATGATGAAGTTGGTTGGGTCGACAAAGTTGTTCTGGGGCACGTAAGAGTTGATGGCGTTGCGTCTGTCAATTTTTGGGTCAGCGATAGCGAAGAGAGAATCTGCAGACCCCAGAGACTTGGGTTCTTTTTTGAAGGTTGTAGGTGGAATGTATCTGTTATCAAGAATTGGCAGAAACCGCTCACGATCAGCACTCTTTTCTTTGGGCAAACTGACGGGCTGGAAGACTCTGTTTTGTTGATAGACATTGTTGCCGGGGTATTGACCGGAGCTGGAACTGGGTAAAAATGCCGGGACTTGTGACTGTTGTGGTTTGAAGCTGTTTGTCTGAAGAGGTTTGAAGACATTTCGGTCCTGAGGGACACCTCGCCCTTGAAGGATGTTCTGTCCCGGTTTGATCTGGTTGGCGAAGACTTTAGCTTGACCTGGATACGGAACAGCTACAGGAACGGCCGCCTTTACAGGCACAACTGGCGCTTGCTTGGCCGGTGGGTTGGCGCCGAAATTGGGAGCTCCAGGGTAGAATGAACCAGCATTTCTGGCGCCCTTGTTGAAGGAACCATATCCAGGGTTATTACCAGGGAGAGGATTACCGTACGCGGCACTGTTGTGTGGACTGCCGAAATTGTTGGCATTGGCATGGCCTGGAAAAGCGTGTAGCTGGGGCCGTGAGAGATCTGCCGAGGCGTGGCAGTGAGCCAGTACAGTGACGAGACAGAGGAGGAACATCTTTTTGTTAGCCTGAAAGAAGATTGTGAAAACATGGCGTAATAATAAAGAAAAGAAACCAAGAAAAATATTTTAAAAATTACATTGAACCTTCATCTTTTTTCAGCTAGGGGAAAGCGTAGAAGAACATTGCTTCCTGATTTTTCTAGCACTGATAACAAAATAACATCCATTTGCCTAACACAAATGCTTTGTGTATCTAGGATTGAAGAAAAACATCACTAAACCGAAATATGTGAACATTGTGCTTTTCTTTTCTCCCCAAATTCCCAGGTATAAGTTGCTACCTTCGGATAGCTATGTGTGAAATATTGTATCGCCGCGGAAAGGGTCCCAGTTTCTCAGAAAATGAGGTGTATTCAAAATGTTTAAGAAAATAGCACGTCCCAAGTCCCCTGTCCATTGGCACAAAAATTATCCCTGAGGAGGCGGGGTGCTTCGACTCTGCCCGTGAGGGCCATTCCTGGCTGTGTAGGATACATCTCGGCGAAAGAATGGATACACTGGAGAAATCATTTTCCTTACAAGAGAAATGAACCAAATAATTGCATGCCGGTTACTCTGAACTTTCTATAATGATTCACCCCCCCCCCCT